ACCATGGCCCCAGGCACCGGCACCGCCAGGACCCCACTCCGTAGCGGGAGCATCCCAGGCCCAGCCGATGTCGCTGCCTCAGCACCGCGACGAGGCAGTGGGCACTGACCCTCCGGCACTGACTCGGGCCCCGGGTCAGGACGTCGAGCTTGTGGTACAGCCGGGTGCAGATGACACCGCGGCACCGACCTCCTCGGCACCGGACGACTCCGTGGCGCCACCACCTCCGGTCTCTCAGGAGGATTTCAAGGCCCACCAGGAGCTCCTCAGGAGGGTGGCATCAAACCTCCAGCTCCAGGCCGAGGAGATGGAGGAGCCGTCGGACACATTGTTTAATGTCCTGACCTTCTCGACGCCGGGGCGTGTGGCCCTACCGCTCCATTCAGGGGGTGGCCAATATTACTACTGGCCTCTGGAAAACCCCAGCATCTCTCTGTCCGATCTCCAAAAAGGTCAAACAGAAGTACTTTGTGCTCACAAAGGGGCACGAATACTTATACTCCCACCCAACTCCGAACTCTCTAGTGGTGGAGTTGGCGAACCACCGAGAGAGGCACGGCCAACCCGCTCCTACCCCTAAGGACAAAGACGCTCACAGGCTGGATTCCTTTGGGAGAAAAGTTTATTCGTCTGCGAGCTTTCAGCTCAGAGTGGCCAACCACCAAGCACTCTTGAGCAGATATGATTTTAACCTGTGGTGGTCCCTTGCCAAGTTTGAGCCCTCCCTCCTCGAGAAGGACAGGAAGGAGTTCCGGGCCCTTGTGGATGAGGGTGCGGCGGCGGCTAAAGCGGCGCTCCAGGTGGTCTCCGATACGACGAAAGACTCCCGTACTACCCTGCAGACGCTGGGCCTGTACGTCCCGCCGGCCAAGGACAAGCCCAGGCCTCACACCTCCACTCCACAGGCTAGGGGTAGATATGAGTCCCCGCCTAAGAAGCAGCGGGAGCAGAGGCGCCAGTCACAACACCAATCCCGCTTGGCCCCTCATCCGGGGCCCTCTAAGACCAGGAGGCCAGGGAAGCGGCATTTTTGACTGCTTGCGGGGGGTCACTGGGCCTGTTGCCAGTTTAACCCTCCCCCCCAGTTAATAAAGTTCAGGTTTGCAAATCATTTACCTGCCTTCCGTTTGCAATGGTCCCGTATTACTACGGACCGCTGGGTTCTCAACACTGTATCCCTGGGGTACAGGTTGCAGTTTGTTTCGCCCCCTCCTAATTGCCCTCTGGCCAGGGAATCGGCAGAGGACCTGGAACATGCGCTCCTCCTGGGTCAGGAAGTACAGTGCCTCCTCTCCCTGGGAGCCGTGGAGAGGGTACCTTGGGAATTCCGGGTCAAGGGATTCTATTCCAGGTATTTCCTCATCCCGAAGTCGAAGGGTGGGCTTCGGCCCATCCTCAACCTGCGGAAGCTCAACCAGCTCTTGGTACGCTGCAAATTCCGCATGGTATCCCTAGCCTCTATTATTCCCTCCCTAGACCCGGGGGATTGGTTTGCAGCGCTGGACCTTCAGGATGCCTACTTCCACATCCACATTTTCAGGATGCCTACTTCCACATCACAGGCGCTTCCTCCGTTTCCTGGTGGGTCAGGACCACTACCAGTTTACGGTCCTCCCCTTTGGCCTCTTGACGGCCCCCAAGGTTTTCACCAAATATATGGAGGTGGTAGCGGCCCACCTCAGGAGGAGAAGGTTGCAGGTCTTTCCCTACCTGGACAATTGGCTGCTCAAGGGCAAGTCCCGGTCCCAGGTGCAGCAGCAAGTAGCACCTGCTCCGCTCTGGGCCTAGTAGTAAACGAGGAGAAATCCACATTAGTTCTAGTCCAGCGCATAGAATTCATAGGAGCGCTGCTGGACTCCCAGGTGGCCACGGCCTCCCTTCCAAGGGACAGGTTCGAGGCGCTCAGAGGCCTCGTCACCTCGGTCACGGCCTTCCCGGTAACCACGGCTCGGATATGCCTTCAAATCCTTGGCCACATGGCAGCATGCACCACAGTGGTTCGACACGCCAAGCTCCGGAAGAGGCCCCTCCAACTCTGGTTGGCTTCTCGCTATTCCCAGGCCAGGGACGGCCTGGACAAGGTTGTCACGGTGCCGCCAATGGTGGTTGCAGACCTCTAATACTGGTCCCTTCCGAGCAGCATGCTCCGGGGAATCCCCTTCCGAGGCCCGTCTCCCTCACTAGATCTAGTGTCGGATGCCTCGGACCTGGGCTGGGGAGCCCACATGGGGGACATCAAGACCCAGGGTATGTGGGTCACCCAAGGAACTGACCCTGCACATAAATGACAGGGTGGCGCCACCACCTCCGGTCTCTCAGGGCTGTGCGCCTGGCATGCATGGCCTTTCGCCAGCACTTACAAGGGAAGGTGGTCAGAGTCCTCACGGACAACACCACCGCAAAGTATTACATCAACAAGCGAAGGGGCACGCGCTCCAGGGCCTTATGCCAGGAAGCCCAACTCCTGTGGGAGTCCTGTATAGCCCACAACATCCTCCTCCAGGTTCCACCTACCCGGCGAGAGCAACATGCTCGCAGATCGCCTGAGCAGGGTGTTCTCACATCAGCACGAGTGGTCCCTGCACAGAGAGGTGGCAGAATGGATTTTCCTTCAGTGGGGCACTCCCCAGGTGGATCTATTCGCTACCGCCCAGAACCGCCTCTGTCCCAGGTTCTGTTCCAGGGTGATAGAAGGCAATGGGGCCATGATGGACGCGTTCCTGCTCGATTGGTCGGGGCCCCTGATGTACGCCTTCCCGCCCTTCCCCCTCATAGGCAGGGTCCTACAGAAGGTGAAGCCAGACGGGGCGAGAGTTATCCTTATAGCGCCGGATTGGGCCCGTCAACATTGGTACGGAACCCTACTGCAACTCTTGGCGGCCCCCCGCCCCCCACAGGCTGCCGCTCCGCCCGGACCTTCTCTCCCAGGAGGGAGGTCATCTCCTCCATCCCAACCTGGCCCCGCTCCACCTGACAGCGTGGCTGCTCCGTGGCTAGATGCGGAGGAGGGGAGGTTAGATGGGTCCTGCTCGAAAGCAGGAAGCCGTCCACATGGAGGATCTACCTGGCTAAGGTAGGTAGTTACAGTACGTCTTCGCTACGGGGGAGGGGGTCGATTTAAGATGCGCAAATTCAGCTACGCGAATAGCGTAGCTGAATTCGATGTATCCGAGCCGACTTACCCCACTGTGAGGACGGCGGCAAATGGACCTCCGCGGCTCCCCCGTCGACGGCACTTACTCCCACCTGCGCTGGTGGAGTACAAGCATCGATTCGGGGATTGATTGTCGCGTCCCGACGAGACGCGATAATTCGATCCCCAAGAGATCGATTTCTACCCGCTGATTCAGGCGGGTAGTGAAGATGTAGCCTAACTGGTATCGGTTCTCCTCATGGGCGAGGGAGAGAGGTTCCTCCCCCGCGTCTGCTCCACTCCAGCTGGTCCTGGACTACCTCCTGTCCCTTAGGACCCAAGGGCTAGCCCCCTCCTCTATCAGGGTGCACCTGGCGGCCATTTCGGCCTTCCACCCTCCGGTGGTGGGACAGTCAGTGTTCTCCCACCACATGACTTCCAGGTTTTTAAAGGGTTTGGACAGAGCGTTCCCTTATGCTAGACCACCGGTTCCCCCTTGGGACCTGAACCTGGTTCTGTCACTCCTCATGGGACCTCCCTTTGAGCCCTTGGCCACTTGTTCTTGGTCCCACTTGTCTGAGAAAGTGGCGTTTTTGGTGGCTATCACCTCAGCCCGCAGGATTTCGGATCTTAGGGCGCTCACCTCGGAACCCCCGTTCATTGTCTTCCATAAGGGGAAGGTACAGCTTCGCCCGCACCCGGCCTTCCTGGTTTCATATGGACCAGGACATTTTCCTGCCAGTCTTGTGTCCTAAGCCCCATTCCTCCAATGAGGAATGCCGCCTACACATGCTAGATGTGCGTAGGGCGCTGGCCTTTTACTTAGATTGAACAAGGCCATTTCAGGCATCCCCTCAGCTTTTCATTGCTACGGCCGAGCGCATGAGAGGGCAACCGGTTTCCACCCAGCGGATTTCCCACTGGATCACCTCGTGCATACGCACGTGTTATGTCCTGGCTGGGCTTCCCCCGCCTCCTATTGTTAAGGCACATTCGACGAGAGCCCAGGCCTCGTCTGCGGCCTATGTGGCTCATGTCCCTATTCAAGACATCTGCAGGGCTGCTACGTGGTCCTCTGTCCATACTTTTGCATCGCACTATGCGATCATCTCCCAAGCAAGGGACGATGCCGGGTTTGGTAGGGCAGTGCTCCGCCCAGGTAACCCTTAACTTTTATCATTTAGAACTCCTACCCACCTCCGTCAGGTATAGCTTGGAGTCACCTACTGTGGAATACATAGGAGCAATCACTCGAAGAAGAAAGGGCAGTTACCTGTTCCGTAACTGGCGTTCTTCGAGATGTGTTGCTCCTGTCTATTCCACATCCCCCTCCTTCCCGTCTGTCGGAGTTGTCTGGCAAGAAGGAACTGACGGTGGCGGGAGCACGCAGCCCCCTTTATAGCGCGATATGTCGGCGCCACTCCAGGGGTCGCAGCGGTGCTCCCCCACTACGGATGCTGCTAAGGGAAAAACTTCCGGCACCGGTGCACGTGGCAAGCACGTACACCTACTGTGGAATAGACAGGAGCAACACATCTCAAAGAATGCCGGTTACGGAACAGGTAACTGTTCTTTCTCTTCATACTTGAATCAGAGTTAGCAGTTTTCTTCAGAGAAAACAATTGGGTATGGTGAAAAAGAAGCACTGTTGGAAAGAAAATGAGGGGTTCATAATAGGGAAACCCCAGTTTTGCTTTTTGTGTACATGGATTTCCCTTCTTCACAGTATTAGAAGATTCAAACGCATGTTTAACAATCTATGGGATTTTTTTTTAATACAAAATGTATTGTGGAGAGGGGAGGAACACCCAAAAATGTGTTGAATGTGTTTCTGACCATTTTATTTTATTTTACCTTCACATCTCAGGAAATTCAAGATCTTATCAGCAGTGGGTGCATACAGTAAAGGTATAACAATTTTATTTTTATTTGACTAGTTTGTTTATTTTTGTAAAAGTCAGCATACTGAACATCGAGCTTTAAAAGGATATTTGACTTTATATGGTCAATTAGCCGCATTTTCTAAATTTGTGTAGTGTTCCTTGTATTAATGTAACAGAGAAAGCATATTACATTAGTAAGGAAGTTATTTTTACCTAAATATTTTTTTTATAAACTAGTGTCTGTGTCATGACAATATTTTTATATTAGTTTAAAAATGAGAAAATGTCTCATGCACAAAATAAATGCCAAATTTTGAAAAGCACAGAATGTTTTTCTGTTCATCTAGCCAAGGATTTTTCTGTACGCGGTATTGTGTTACATTCCATAACTGTGAGTTAGGTGTGGCACTAGGATTTGATAGGAATTTTATCACTTCTAGTAAACAGCAGTTTGGTTAATAATGTTTTTACATAGTCTGACTAACAGAGGACCTTTGTTGCACAACATTGTTACTAGGGAAGATTAGTAAAATCTAGTACTTTAGACAAAACTTTTGTGATTAAATAAGACATGATTACCTCAATGTGATAGAAATAGTTTTTTTAAAATGATACAATATATACATTAATAAGCCAAGGAAAGCTTCCAATATTACATGTAACGTGGTAACAGTTCATGCATGGGTATGAGAATACGTCATTATGTTAGAATGCATTGATAAATATGTGTCAGCCATGATAATGACATACTGTAACCCTTGTGTAGATGTAGACAGCAGGTTGTAGATAGAATGCAGCTGTGGAAATTTTTCCTAATTTAAAAAGAGGGCTACTATTTTCCTACTTTATTTTATGTCAGCCTGTCATTTATTTTTCTTACTATTCTTAACTTTTAATCTTTGTTATAAGGGTTATTAAAATATGCTTTTGTATGTTTCAGAAAGGAGGTGCACTAATCAACACAGCCATGACCAAAGCCAGCCCTGCTGTGAAGACAGCATACAAATTTGTAAGATCAACACAATCTGTGCATAAAAAATTACAGAAACCACCTATAATCTCCAGTTATTGTCAAAAACTGAAAAAGCTGTGTAGTTCCAATATGTATTACAGAAAAACATTACAGCCTAAGAAATTGTTTTCATCTTTTATTCCTATCTTGTGAGGGAACAATAACCACTCCATGTTACTGTTTTAAGTGGTTCAGTATGCTATTTTTGGCTTCATTCAAAATATACTGTAGATGCTTATTTGAATACCTATTACATATTTGAAATACAGCTGAAAACCTCTACTTATCTGATGATCTTAAAATATGGACGCTGAAAATACTAAATCTCATTACTACTTAGTATTATACTAAGGCCCCTTTACTCCTCCCTGGCAGTGTAAAGTAAAAGTCCGTATAAATGTTGTGTATAGTTCTAGGTGGTGTAAAGGAGTCTTTGTGTACATAACAATATGTCCCTAAGGACTCCAGTTTGACACTGAGTGGTATCCTATCCAAAGCGGGTTGGGAAGCATTTATATTGTGTGCAAGGAACAATTGCAGTCCAAAACTTCCACCCTAAGCAAACTATTCCTTATCTGGGTATGAGCATCTTTTAAACTTATTGTTATGGTGTTAATAAAATAGCACTAATTCAAAAAGCTATGGACTTGCACTCTTGGCCCTTGATTTACAGCTTATCTAGATGAAGCTGGGGTGTAAATCTGTACCGCCCTAGCATGTCACATGCTAACTGTCTACATGAACCATGCATGTAAAAGTTACCTGATGCATTTTGATCTACCCCGCTTTGAAACAGGAATAGGATCAAAGTGTTCTAGGGAACTTTTAGTGCGTGGTAACAGGGTCCACACTGGCAGTGCGCAGCAGGCTAGTGCAGTGAAGATTTACATCCCAGTTTGCCACACGCTGTTTAACTAGTTTTATGTCTTCAGTTTGACAAGCAGTCCAGTTTTTAAATGATCTTTAAATATCCCTAGATCATAAAGAATGTGAATTACATGATACTATCCAGGGAATAAAAACAATGTGGTAGCTTGTAAGAAATGACACAATAAGTATTTTAAGATTGGGTTCAAAGCACACAGGGGAAGAATCTTCTCTGCCTTTCTTTTGGCTTTTCCAAGGGCTCTTTAGATTGATGCATAGTAAGTAGTTCTGAATAAATCAGTGCTACAGTGTGATGCTAGTAGATTTTAAATAAAACTTAAAAAGAGAATTTTTAATTATACATCAATTCAAACTCTCACAAAAGTCATGAGGAAAGAAACAGGTAAATAAATTAAAGGTACTGTATAACCACCCACTCATTTATAATTTAAAAATGGTTCATTAACAGGCTAGCAGGAAATTATTCTCCTCCTCTATTTTTCATGAGCTTAGATGAGGTTTCATGATTTCCTCCCAGCTACCCATTTTGCCCATTATGTCCCTGATCCTACAACTTTCTGTATCAGCAGACTCCTTGTGTGCAAGAAGCCTTATTAATTTCAGTGGGAATCTGTGCATGTTCAGGCATAGATCAAGGTGCAGGAGCAGGCCTATATGTCCTCTCTTGCCCTTTCCCCTTCCATACATGCATGCATCTACTACATGGCACCCTGTTGCCTTGTTATTGAGCTACTGAGCTTATGATTTAAGGGTCACATTTTCAAAAGTTCCCTAATCTGGCCATCAAAACTATCCCAAGTTGTTGTACAGACACTCCCCAGGTTACGCAAGATGCGACTTACGCAAATTCGCACTTACAGAAAAAGTTCCGTAAGCCAGAAATAGGATTTTCAAGTGCAGAAATTTTTGCGTAACGTACGGGTATACGTTTCCAATTTACGAAAAATTCGAGTTACACAAGGCTTTCCGGAATGGAACAATTGCGTAGGTCGGTGGGCATCTGTATATGGAAACACTCATAACTCTCCCCACAAACTACATCTCCCTTGGTGCAAAATCAATAATTAAGATGTGTGTGTCACTGATTTTCATGTGTAGAGTCTGAAGTTTTTCATATATCGCCCTTAAATGTGAAAAGTCATAGGCATAATTTTCAAGGCTACTTTTGAAAATTGGTTCTAAAAGTTAACTTGAATCTAACACGGTTCATGTAAGGAAAACTTTCCTATTTCTCTTAAGACCAGGTTAGCATTTTTTCTAGCAAAAATAAAATGTAGAAAATTTAGAATATAATTACTTGTCATCTAGAATGGTAATTCATCTCTAAATAGAAGGATGCCCTTGGGTCCATTTTCTGTGCAAATTATTGTCATGAACAATCATGGGACTTGGCTGCCTATTTTAATGCACACAGTTTCCCCCTAACTATCAGCACTATGCTGTTCAGCAACGCTGGAGAAATTCTCCATCTGCATATAAAACCACTTCATTTCTTTTAAGATTGATGTTGCCTTGCAAGTTACCAGACTGGAACACTATAGCAGTGAGCTTGAAAATCTTAACAGTTTTCCAACATGAGTTGCTATTAAAATACTACTTCAAATTTAAAGGACCATCTCAAATAAAGAGATGGACACTAGAGACCAATAGGATGGTTCATTTTTAGCAATAGGTGAGGATACATTTGCAAAATTAGTATGTTTTCACAACATTGGCATGTATGCACAATTCTTACTAACTGACTGCTGTTAGCATAGTATAGCAAACTGATACAGCCCAGGTGAAATTAGCGATAGAGATTATTATCCTTATACCACATAAAATTTAAAAAAATATTTCTCATTAAGTAGGCCTTATAAAGCATATTCTTTGAACAAAGCCTATCTCTTGCGCCACCAGTTAAGTCCTTTTGTTTTAATTTTCTAGGCAAAAAGTCATGCAAAGCAGGGAATAAAAGAAGTGAGGAGTAAGTTAAAACACAAGGTATGTAATACAATTTTACTTTCTTACCTTGCTTCTTGTATCAGTTTGAAGCTTATACTTTACAAATCACATGAGATTTGTGTTTTTAATGACTTTTGAAATATGCTTAGCCCTTTGTTCAACAATACATTTTTCATAACGAGCCCTCTGGCAACTATCTGTCATTCTATGCATCCACTGAATAATCTCTTTATTGTTTGCATATTTTATCATAGAACAACAGAGATCTTCAAAGATACGTTAACAGGATGTATGTTTTCATAAAGTTGATTGCTTTGATATCACAATTGAAGTCTTTGCTTCAAGCTGAGAATTTAAGACAGGACAGTCTTGCAGTACAATGTAATTCAGAAGGTGTAGTTGTCTGTTTTGGATTCATAAGATCCGAGCACAATGTTAATGTTTTAAAATAGAGAAACATTTCAACTTTGAAAAATAACATAGAAATATCAGAATGAAGCTTGATTTAGGCATTTAAGGACACTTTTCCTAATGAGTTTTATTTCTTCACTTATGATTATCCTTGTGAGAAGGGGGAACTAACTTCAATGTTATTTTATACTTTTCTCAAATATAAAGTTTAAAAAAATATTTCATAAACATTAATGGATTTAAATTGTTTTATATACATTCTAAAAGCTTCATTTGAAAACTTCACTCTGTTGTATTTGATAACTATTAACTTTTTGCAATGCTGTATTTCATTTTGTTAATAGATATGATCTTATGACAAATATTTAGTAACAAATGATCTGTATTAACAAAATTATTTTTAGTACTCTATGTATACATAGGATATGTAGATAAATATTGTAAACATGAGATTTTAAATCTATTCTGTTGTGTAGGAGAGTGATGAAGAATATGGAACTTGTAGCTCTGGTGTACTACAGTGTGCGCCAGTGTACACCTTACACAATCAGAAAAGAGGAAACTCAGAAAAACGAAGACTTGCCCAGGTAAGTCACCTGAAACCTTTGCTATCACTTTTTTAAAATATGGGGGGGAACTGTTTTCCTGTTACAGTAGTGTGTTAAAATATTATGGTAAATACCTTTATTACCATCTGTATTCAGGAAATATGATAAGTAGTATTCACAATAATACTGCTTGCATAATATGCTGTTTTGAGAGTTGAGAGAATGGCTTATCATATATCATCCTCCTGGAGGGGAAAAAATAGGAAATTCAGCAGGGAGATGAGGTTGCCAGCTACATCTCCAGGAAAAGAAATCACAATTGATCCTTAGGAATAGGACTATATTTTCAAACAAATATTTAAAATTATTTAATAAATACTGTTTAAAAGTACAAAGAGTACAAAACAGATAAATGCTAGGAATATTGAAGGTGTGATCTATTGAAAAGTTTACTTAGTAGTATATATCTTTTATGGACTCCCATTAGATAAATAATTTCATAGGCATAAAACATACATATCAGATCAAGCATGAATATTAGTTTTTGACCAAAGGAATTAGTTTATTAGTTTTGAATAAAGGAATTCTGGTATATTCACGTATGCCCAAGCTGATTTTCACTGATAAACTGTCTTTTTACAACCCTAAAATACAGTGGTATGTGTTAATACTTTACCTAAAGCCAGTTGATTTTGAGAGAGGGCATGCCTTTAATTCAGACCTTGCTCAAGCTGATTATCATATAGTGAATTTACTGCTAAGTAACTAACACTGTGTCAGATGTCTTGTCTTTCTGTTCTCAGTTCCTTTAATGGGTCTGGTTCTCTATAACAGGTGTAATATCTCGGTTTTAGCCCAGTACTAATTCCCAAATGCCCAAATTCTATTTGAATTATTGCTTTATTCTATACAGAGTAATAAACAGTCTGGGGGTTTTGTGATCCCTTTTGAATAAGAATATATATTTTTAATAATATATACAAACTCCTGCTTTTGATACCACAAATGTGTCTTCCTTAGATAAGAAGTGTGTACTGTAGGTCTTCAAATTGACAGTTGAATTTACCTGACTATTGACACTATTTTACTTTATATATAATAATAATGTTATGATAAAATTCTAATTTTGTAAGCCCATGCATTCAGGTGTTTTGACTGATAAAATAGAAAGTGTTTGTGGAAACTAATATACAATTAGGGTAGATTAATGACTTGCTCAGTAGAATGTTAGAAAATGTGTGGTAATGCTGAGGCCATTGGTTCCAGTGGTATAAATAATGTAGGCAGATCTATTTTAATTATGTAGGTGGATTCTCTTCTGTAACATGTTTTTCAGGTTTCTTTTTAAATACAGTAATACTAAAGTCTGCAAGTGTGTGCTGTCATTGTATTTTCACATAGACTAACACAGTGTGTCCTTTCTTTCAAGAACCTTGTATAGTTTAAATTTCCTGCCTTGACAGTTGAGACAGAAGATATGCAGATACATTTAGAATTTTAAAAATGTAGTATTTATAACAGAGATTGATACTTATTTATTTTTAATTGGTAACTGTCATTCTAATATACAGAAACTTTTTCTTTAACCACATCTGTGTCGCATAACACTGCTTTTTTCAGTACACCGTAGAAACACATCCCCAAATCTGTTTATATGTTAACTTTTATGCAAATGTACAACATAAATATAGCTAAAATATGTGTCTGCACATTCAGATGCTTTTAAATGCTGCACATGTAGAAAAATAGTTAGCTTATTAATTTACTTCATGGTCAGGTCTGTCTGCTGTTCCACTTTAATTGTTTAATTTTAGAACTGGAGTCAACATGAATAAATTGTACCAAAGTAAATTTTATTATTAGATACTAATGTTTCTTCTGAAGGATTGTGTCATTGTAGAATACTTAAACATTTATATGATTTTTCATTCATACAGTCGTATAATACTGAGATTTAGTACATCTTTTCTGACAACTAGCCAACTTTTTATTTGTGAAACAGCATACACTTCTTTCAGAATGATACAGTGTATCAGGTCAGAACAGCTGAGATTTTTTTTGTCCTATATAGAGCAAGGAAAATCTTAATGTGCTTTAAAAAGCGGGGGGTTGTTTACGAGACAAGCTCTGTTACTAATGGCTCCATATCTTTGCCGAGCTGAGAGAGCAGCATGACCTATGTCCCCACCCCATCCTCTACCCTGAATGTCACATGCACTCAGTAGGCAGGAAACAACAAGCTGTAATCACTGACCAAGAAGTTTGGTCTTCTACAGTTCCAAAAAATGCAAACTGGGCTTTGTGGTCCCAAAACATCATTATTTATATGGAGTCTCAGGCTGTCCTACATGTTATAATTGGTGCTGTTTTTAAACATGGAGGCTCTTAGCATCAGCTAACAATAATGCAAGATCCATTGAACTAACTGCTGGCTTTGAGAGCTTGCATCTATATAAATTATAAATATACTTGCATCTGAAGAAGTGAGGTTCTTACCCACGAAATCTTATGCTCCCAGTACTTCTGTTAGTCTCAAAGGTGCCACAGGACCCTCTGTTGCTTTTTACAGATTCAGACTAACACGGCTACCCCTCTGATATATAAATTATATTACTTCTTATTATTATTATTTATTATTAAAAGCAAATGAATTGCATTCATTGCTACACTTCATAATTGTAGAGCTTTGTCTGAAGCTTTCCTTCCTGCTGATTAATCTTTTTGTTCAGGTTTCTAAAATGGCGCTGCTCACTGTCATTTCACTGTAGTCACTGAAAAATAAGATAGTGCTAATGGTCACACAGTAGCTTATGCATTTAAATATACATTTTAAATAATGGGTAAAGGTTGGTTCACTGAAAAATCAACTATGAGAATACTTCTAAAATCCCAGACAGTGTAGATTTTTAAGTCTTCTTACCTCAAGACAATGAGGGCTTCCCCCACGCTCCCACTCCTCCATCCCCATTATCAACCATCTCACAGTAAGTCATTTTAAAGTACTGCAACATAAAGAATTTAATGTTACACTTTCTGTTTCATGTCAGGCCTATTGATGGGAGTTTTTATTTCCCCATTGCTGCTTTCAGTAAACCATAAATGTCAAATTAGTCATTTGAAATAAATTCAAAAATATTGTTTATAATTTAAAAAAATACTTTATAAAATAGTGTATGATGCTGAAGTTCTCTTGATTCTAGAGATCAGTTTAATGACTGTTTCATTACCAGGAGATTCTGTACAATAGAATGTGAATCTGCTTTTTACCCCAACAAATAGTAGTTTGTATGCTGGTCTGCTAATTAGTACGGTTATTTCCTGTTTTGTTGATGAGGCTTAAATAAATGTCAAGGGTACAGCCATGAAGATCTTCCAATTAGGCTTTGCGTTTGTAAAACCCAACCCCTTTGCTTTTGTGTGAAGATGACAGTTCCAACTGCAGCCTCAGCCTAACAGGGCTCAAGGGAAAGGATTCTTCTCTGGTTTTATTGAAAACAAGGCCAGTTTGGCCCAGTGAGAATACCGGCACTGGTCACAATGCAGAGCCATTTTTAACAATGAATATTTACTAATCTTTATCATTGCCCTTGTGGTTGTTTTAAAAAAAATAGACTTTAAAAAAAATCAGAATGAATTATGATATGTAAAAGAGCTGCTGAAGCTTAATCAGAGGATAAATAATTAAATCTGTTATCACAAACTATAGTGATTATATTGGTTTCCTTTAATTAGCATTTGGGAAATCTTTCCCAAGGAAAGCAAAACAAAAAACAAAACAAAAAAAACCACAATTCAACTTAGCCTAAGATAGTGTTAGAAAAATTGTTCTCTCTCATATATGTTTGAGCCCACTCTTGCTTAGGTTAGCTATTCTGGGCTTTTTGTGTGTGCGGGAGCTTAGCTGTATTGCAAGTCAACATTAACAGATGGATTGCCCTAAGCAAGGGAAAACCACCACAACAAAATCTAGTGAAAGTAGAGGATTGAAGCTTTTTATTGTTAAGCCTTATTAAAACCTTGGCATGTACACTACTGTTAACTGTTTCGTGCCTTGAACTAATAGCATTTCTGTGATATTTTCTGTATTCTAAGTAGACAAGGTACATGAGATAGTATGAGAAATTTCGAGTTAAATGTTTTGAACGACAAACTAAAGCAAAACATGAGATTATTTCAGCCCATGTTAATGTTATTTTGCCACATATTATTAGCAAATTACACTCTGACTGTTTTTACTATTTACCAACATTTTTTTGGTAATACTTGAATTAAACTACTGAGAACTCAGTTTTTCATAATTCATTTTAATTCCTTTTCTTTACATGCATTGATGCAGTGCAGATTTCGGGGTGGGGGCGGGGGAGTGTACACAGACACAACCATGTTTCTACCATATTGCTTAAAATAAAAAAAATAAAAAAAAAAAAAGAAGTTTCAGTAAGAAAAAAGGAGGAATACCAGGAAGATCTGTTTGTTTTCATGAATATGATCTATGTAATTTTACCATATGTAACCATTATCCCAAGTGATTGGTGGCTTATTTAAAAGGGAACATTGCTGGGTTTAAATAGTCCTTATGTATTCAGTGGCTTATAAAACATGCTAGCAGATTTGCAGAGTACTGTGTAACAACTATGAGCTCATTTTATAATTAATAAGGTACCAGTGCACCCTTGTCTCAAAGGAAATAGACGTAAGACTTATAGGCATGCAGTAACTTGTAGCCATAATAAAAAATAGGGCATTTGGATTGTAAGTGTGGATTTACTGGGAATCCCAATGTGTCCCTGCTACTTTACTTACACATATATCAAAGCAACCAGGTGAACTACTTGTCATGACTATGCAGTATTTTAAATATAGTGTTTTAAAAATCTCGTTTATAATTGAAACCTCTTTATGTAACAAGTGTAACTAAAACCAGTTCAGATTAAACCTTTTATCTTGCTTTCCCCAAACATAAGTGAATTGACCAAATAAAAGTATTCTTTCTCTTTTCTTTTTAAAGCAGAACATAGATGTGACTTTCAGATACTTAG